AAAAAAGTACTCATCTTTGATTCAGTATAACTTAAAAAGTAATAGAGTTCTGACACTTAAACAATAGGCATTGTATTCAGTAATGATAACTTAAATTTTCGTATATACCATTTGCATTTTAATACAGTATTGACTGAGATAACTGCGTTTAAAGTTGAGTTAACGTTTCGGGAAATGTCGAAAATGAGCAAAAAACGGCCTATTAAAGTAATTTTGTCAACCGCAGTTTATCGTACGTATAAGTATTCGTTTCATAAATTAAAAGTGAAGTTTAAAAATGTTTATTGAACAGATATGTTCATTATACGAACTTTTGGAATGCATTAAGTTTAACGTGTAAGGCTGTTTTGATTGTTTTATTTTACGGCAACATTAAATGTCTCTGGGGAATTCAAATGCTAATGTGCAAGAAAGAAACGTGGCCTGTCTCTTTGCTCTTTTTACCGGTACCGTTATAAAGATGCCTCGTTTAACGAACGACCAAAGAGTTTGGCTTTGTTTAGAATATGCTAGGGTAAATAATGCTTGTGAAGTTCAAAGGCGATGGGCAGAACGCTGGGGCAACCTTCCTGCCCCTACTAAACGAACTGTTATGAAAACATATCGCAAGTTTGTGCACGAGGGGACTTGTCATAATCTCAACAAGGGACGAAGTGGTAGACGGAGAACGGCTAGAACAGCGGAAAACATCGAATTGGTTCGACTTGGCCCCCTCGTTCTCCTGACCTGACGGTGTGCGATTTTTTTCTTTGGGGCTACTTACCCAGGCTCTTTCTGGAGCGCGCTAGATCTGAATGCATTAGATATAGTGTTGGCAAGATCTGGAAATTCTTGGAAGCAATTGGGGTTTTCTGAGATCACTATTTTCCATTCTATTCGTCCATTTTCACTCGCCCCATATGAACATGTAAGTTAAGTGCTAACCATCCTTACTTGCAGTTGAGAGCTAAATAGAGATTACTTCATGGTTGGCGAGCGCGTACGGTTTTTATTCACGAGTGAATTATTACAGGCGAACGAGTGAGCACAGCGAACGAGTGAGCCTGTAATAATTAACGAGTGAATAAAAACCGTACCCGCGATCCAACCATGAAGTTATTTGTTTTTATTATATAAGTATTGAGATTTACTCATCGAAATCGCAGTGCGTAATAATCGTTCCAAATTAGCAACAGCCAATCAGCAACGAGAACGATGAAATCTCACTAGTGAAAAATCATCGTTCGCCGTTGTTGATTGGACGAACGATGTTTTTTCACTAGTGAGAAATGATCGTACGGGAAAATACGTCATTTTTCATTTGGCGCGGAATTGCGAATTTAATTATTTAAAACAACAAAATGGCTTCGCGATTTGTTGACGCCGGTTCTGTTGACGACTTTATTTTGGAACAGGAGAACAAGAGCACGGCGCAAAAAACACAGCGTGATGTTAAATTATTACAACTATTTTTGGTGAACAAGAACGAAGAAAGAAACATTGAAGATATCCCGATAGGAGAACTAAACGAATACATGTCTGACTTTATAATTTCGGTCAGAACCAAAAACGGAAAAGAATACGAGCCATCTTCTCTTCGGAGTTTACTGGCAAGTTTCGAGCGGCATCTTAAGAGGAAAAACTACCCTGCTAGTATTATCAATGACTTGGCATTCGAAAAGACAAGAAAAACTCTCGAGTCCAAGCAAAAACAATTAAAAAAACAAGGAAAAGGAAATAAACCAAACGCTTCTGTGGCTTTAACTACTTCGGAACTAAATACGTTGTATGAAAAAGACCTTCTCGGTACACGAAGTCCTGAGTCGCTTTTAAACACACTCTGGTTGAATAACACTATGCATTTTGGACTCAGAGGTTGCAAAGAACACAGAGACATGTGTTGGGGCGATGTTAAGTTGAAGCAAACAGCAGACGGTGAGGAATTTTTAGAATTTAATGAAAGACAAACCAAAACAAGAACCGGTTCAGATTGCCGTGATGTCAGAAAAATGGCGCCTAAAATGTTTGCTACTGATGGGTCGGAAAGAGATCCTGTCGTGGTCTACAAACTTTACGAGCGGAAGAGACCAGGAAAAATGAACGAGGATGATTCCCCTTTCTACCTAGCTGTGAACAACACATTAAAGAAAGAGTCGCTTCAAACGAAAGAGTGGTTCAAGGCCGCTCCTGTTGGAATAAACAAACTGAACAGTCTGATGAAGACAATGGCTCAAAAAGCAGGAATCAACAACGAACGACTGCGAAATCACAGCGGGAGAAAAACAATGATTCAAACACTTAGCGAAAATGATATTCCCCCGACACATATCGCTCAACTGTCAGGGCACAAGAATTTAAAAAGCTTAGAAAGCTACAGCAAAGTGTCGAGCAAACAGGAAATGCAAATGTCCAAAGTTCTCAGTGGCTATACATCTGGTAGTGCAGCAAAGACATCGTCTGATAAAACAGTAAATTCACCACCAACTTGCTCGCCCATCTCCGAAGCACAACAAGCTATGGCTTTATTCAGCGGAGCTGTCATTAAAGGCGGCAATTTTTCCATTAACATAAACACAGTAAACCAGTCGCCCAAGCTCACATTGGAACAAGAACCAAGCCAAAATTCCGCCAAAGATGAAGCGTTGTCAAAATGGAAGAGACTTAAACCTTTAGAGGACAGTGACGATGAGTTTTAGACATTTTTATAAACATTTATAGCCTTTGAAGTATTTTTAAAATACGTGTTAATTTAATATTTTCTTCGCGTTGAAATTCTTACAATCAAGTTGTGTTGTTGTGTTCTGAAAATAAAAAGTTAATTTATGCAACCTCAAATGCTGTTAATAATCTACTATTATTAATCATTTTAAAATATGCATTTTCTTGAGTGAAATCTCAATACTTATAATATAAACAAATAACTTCATGGTTGGATCGCGGGTACGGTTTTTATTCACTCGTTAATTATTACAGGCTCACTCGTTCGCTGCGCTCACTCGTTCGCCTGTAATAATTCACTCGTGAATAAAAACCGTACGCGCTCGCCAACCATGAAGTAATCTCTATATTCGCAATTCCGCGCCAAATGAAAAATGACGTATTTTCCCGTACGATCATTTCTCACTAGTGAAAAAACATCGTTCGTCCAATCAACAACGGCGAACGATAATTTTTCACTAGTGAGATTTCATCGTTCTCGTTGCTGATTGGCTGTTGCTAATTTGGAACGATTATTACGCACTGCGATTTCGATGAGTAAATCTCAATACTTATATAATAAAATGAATTACGAAACTAGGACGCAGCTCAACCTGATCGAGTCGAATGCTTTCTAAGGGCGCCTCTGGCATCCACCTTACGACTGGTGACTGATCACGGAGCACAGCTACGGTGGAAGGGTTAACACGAGTACCTGGAGAAAACCTACAACCTTCGGTAGAGCGTTGACTGACTCTTTTCACACGAATGTGATCAGTCCGGAATTGGAACACGCGATTTCAGAGGTGAAAGCGCTTACTCCGACGCTTGCGCCACCGAAGCCCCTTATGGAATCGCGTACATGAACAATCGTATCGTGTAAACACTAAACAGCCTTGAAGAATTCCCCTTACTGGGATCCATATAGGAGGAACAATTTAGGACTGCTGTAGTTAAGAATATATTCCATGCACTGTATAACTGCAAACATCTTTGTAAAATAAGATGTCGAAGACCAATACTGTGTTATGCATAATATAGTTAAATAATAAAAAAAAACTTACCAAGATATAAAAGAAATAATAAGACCAGATTTTCGCATTATCTGCACTATTTCCCCATAAATTTAGTAGTTTACAAGACCATATGGCTGTACTATTATTTAGCAGTGATTTCGAGTAAGAGGATATTATATAAGGTTAATATCACATTACACTTTCTTGACATTTTCAACCACTTGATCTGAATGACAAATTTTATGACAGGTATACAAGAGTTGATAAATCCCATTTCACTCACTCCGCATAAAAAACAGTTTAAATCCAGAATTTCCTTTTTTGAAGTCAAAACGTTTTTACAAGTGAGTTGACTAAGGCAATTGGTGTCTTTTTGTCCGTGATTTATTACATGATATAATGATTTATTGTGCCTTATACAAATGTACAGGGCATTTCTTTCAGTACTTTTACCTATACTAATATAATATTTACTTGCGTAACAGGTATAAAAGACGTAGAAATTTCATATTTCTCTTTCTTAATCATAATTAATGTAAAATATGTATAATTTTTTATTACTCATATTTCTCTTTCTTAATCATAATTAATGTAAAATATGTATAATTTTTATTACTCAAATAAAATTATCGATTGCAAATATAGATTACTAGTTTGACATTTCATTTTACAATGAAATTTAGATTAAGTTCCCTTGAAAACCTATAATACGCACTATTGTCCTATTTAATAGAATTTTAACACCAAAACAGTCTACAATTGTCCCTTTTATTTTGTCTACTACTCTAATCTAATATGTAAACTACACTTTATGATTTCATACAATGTTAACTCATCCAGTCATGACTTATGTTATCTCATTGCTGTGAAAATGAGCTCGGTAACACCACACCACACCACATCACTGAGCTCTCTCTATATATATATCTGGAGCGAGAACTCGGTTGAAAAGGGTGATGCCAAGATGGCGCAAATTGACGTCAAGTGCCAGTCCTTTTCTTTTACTTTATCAGCGCGGTCAACACGAATTTACAAGGGTGTGCCGAGATTTCGTGCTTTTATTGCGAATGAAAGCAATACGATCTGTTAGAAAAAACAGTGGCTGCGAAAATGTTATGCTGAAACTGTTTACGACTTTCAGAGATTTTGGACATCAATCTCCGCCATATTGGCTTCACTTCTCTCATTGGCCGAATGACTGAAGTACTCCAGATATACAGCTAATTCAATTAAGATTGTCCTTTCATGAAGGTAAAACCCTTGACCTCAAAGCGCGAAAGGCAGGATGGGTTGGCATACAAATTAATTCATAGTTCCCAGACTCCGTAGTTACGGTTGCTACGTCTCACAAGTTGTTTTGCTTTTACGTAAAAAAGCGATTTATATATTTACGAATTCCCGTGATTTTCACCTATTTCGGATTTTATTCGCTCGTCTAACCTAATACAGCAGCAAACCCGGAAGAATTGATAGTTTTTCAACTTCGTAACCATAGATATCTTATATACACTAGATAGCGCATCTCTTTTAGTAACATTGAAGTCAAGAATATTCCAGCGGTTACCACCATTTGAATAGATGGCGGCCATGTTGGTCGTTCCCACTTGCTAATAAACGCTTAAAAACAACATTAACTTTCATCATTTGAATAGTTTAAAAACGTATTTGCAATAGGGTTAACTTAATGTTTAAGTTCCCTGTTCAAGAAATAGAAAATATACGAATCTTCTCATTTCATGGGAACGACCTGAGACTGCAATCACGGCTTCAATTTTTGAATTGCAGAATAATTAGATGCACTATCTAGTGTATATAAGATATCTATGTTCGTAACGTTATTTATGAGAATGTTATTTATGAGTATGCTTCACTCTGCTTTGGGGATTAAATTCACTTGATCGATTTGCACAAATATTAGACATATACTTAATTAGCAAAATATAACAACTAGATCGTGCTAACATGCATGCATAAACAATTCATAATGTAAACATGCCCATTGTGCATTTCGCGCTTAGAGTTCGACGGTCGAAGGTTTTGACTTTCAGAGATAACCTTAAATGAATTAGCTGTATATAGACCTGATTGCTTGTCCAATAGAAATCCATTTTCGGATTTTAAAATTACTCGTATTGTTATCTTTCTAGATTTGTCATGAACTTGTGATTTCCATCATTAAAAATATTTTTAAGTTTTCCACACTTCCATAAAGAAACCAAAAATACAAAATGAATTAAATCCATCGAAACTGATTTCTGTTCCATTGCTAGTTCCAGATTCTTAGCACCCCGTCACATCGTCTGGAAACATGGGAAATTATTTCTCTTGGATGTTGAGTCAAATTTTTTACTCTCACGATGAAAATAGAGACTGTTGCTCTTCAGGAGTACAGTTCTCGGACGGTCTTTGATTAATTTCTTTAAACAGTTTCAATCGCCTGAATGCAGCTTGAAAGCAAAGCCGAAACACCATTACCAGTTTCAAAAGAATGGAAAGCATTACCAAAGAAAGTATGAGAGCAACGGGAAAAATTATAAGAACATTTTCAATCACGTTGATCATATGTAACAAAGCCTTGCTACTGGAGTCCGAATCTTCACCATAATAAATACTTTTAATCAAACTAAAACCAGAGATGATTATCAGCACTGCAAGGGATAAAGTTTCAAGTACGTTATCGCTCGCGCTCTTGAAAGGCTTAATCAGTACATGAGGCAGTAAAATAACTGTACAAACTATCATGAATAGAGTTGCCTTCACACGAGTGTCGTGCACAAACGTGATGACCAAAATCAATACCAGTCTTCGAAGAATAAGAAAACCTTCCCATGGAAGATGCGAGGAAGGGAAAATAAAAATTGCCTTGTGTGGCCTGAATGGACCAAGAAGGACTTGAAGTACTGCCGCTTTACTGCCCCTCGACGCGGTTTCTGTGCTCAAATTTTCGGTTTCTGGGTTTGAATTTCCACTCACAGTTCCCCTGCCATCAATTGTAGTTGAATCAGTAGAGTTTTCATCAATTGCATCATCTTGTATTTGGTCATTTGTTTCTACACGACGAGAAGGTCTCATCCACCACGAAGAATTCCGTACCAACAAATACGACCAATAACAACAGAATGGCAGTGGAAAGATACAAGCAAGACAAAACTGTGCTACAGAAATACGATTTAATTTCAAAAGATACGAACCGAGAACAGGAACAAGACAAAATGGAAGTATGGAAGAAATCATGTAAACAAAAAGAAAATATTGAAATGTTTTGTAACATTTCACATGACCATCAAGAAATAAAACTTGGTTGTCACCAACTGGTACACAGTGAAGAAGGGAAAGACAGAGTTGAGTGGACAATGCGTACGTCAAAAGTGAAATATTAGCAAAGGCCCCTGCAATACGTCCCAGAAAAGGATTCTCTTCTAAATTAGGACTATGATCCATTGTTTCGGTACCAGCAACCGTCTGCTGAGTAGATCTAGTCCTCAGTTTCTTAACTACCTTGAATACAAATATAGAAAGATACAATAAACAAAGAAGTGTTAACAAACTATATCCTACAGAATGAACGATGACCGCTTTTTGAACAGGACGAAGATCTTGGAATGGACAATCAATGGAAGGAATACTAATGATAAGAAAATTGAATGCCCGGGATAAAAAGTTTTCTAGGTCATCAAAGAATTGATCTTTTACATCTGAGCCAACAGAGTTGCGTAACAAATGAACAATCTGATAATAATAAAATATTATTTTTAGGAAGCCGCCGGGTTTGAAGTTTCGACCATTTCTGGAAGACAAAAAATATCTTGGTGTAATACGCCCCAAGACAAAATTGATGATATCTTTTTTGTACAAGAAAAATAAGAGATAAAGAGTTAAGGTAGCTGAGATCGCTGGCCAAAACGTAACACTTGTGCAATCTTTGTTTGCTTTACATTTTGTGTCAAATAGAGATTCCGACATTCCACTGGGGCATTCACCACACAGGGTACCCATTCTGTTACCATGGCAACTGTTGTAATGCTCGCATTGGTTAGTATCACAACAGTATTTGGGAAGACATTGATGAAACTTGACTTGACGGTTTGACTTGTATCCCCAGAAATTAGGTTTAGATGTCACTTGGCCTTCGACACAGTTCCCACCCACAGGGCACTCTTGACAGGTGATGCGGTTGGATCGGCCGGTATTATGAGCTTCTCCTCCGTCTAAAGAGTATGTGTGTCGCGGACATTGCTCGCAGAACACAGAAAATAAGTTGCATTTTGTCACTATATCTGAATAGTTATAACAGTTGGTGTCTAAATTCACCGTATAACCTTGGGGACAAAGAATTGTTAGATATCCCTCAATAGTAAAAAGTGCGTCAGTTGTTTCGTATGATATAACGTAGAACATGTTGCTGTTGGACAAACTTCCATTTCGACTAGTTTTTATGATTGGATAACTTTCGTATGAACAGTTTTCAAACGTTACCTTGGTAACACCTCCAAAATGAATAAGTGGAAACATAGGATTGTGCACAGGAGCATTTTGAAAAAAATGACATGATGAGAAATAGTATGAACCACCACCAGCAAGATATATCGGCCCTTCGTTTCCAAATTTACCATGTGTAATGTTAAACGTATTATTGTAAAACTTTACCATGAAGTAGGAGAAAAATGTAACAGATGGCCAGTCGGCAACGCACATGACTGCTCTGGTAGTGCTTACAAATACAGTGTTCAAGATACCAGCAATAAGTGTTTCTTGTTCTTTTTCGTACAATAAATACATGTAAATCACCGCATAATAACAGGTAATGTTTTCAAAACGTAATGTATCCAAAACTATAGTAATTTGTCGAGAATTAGAGCATATCCTGAGTGCGCTTGATCTTGATATATCTGCAAGATTATTAAAGTTCATAAACGTGGAAGATTTAATTGTGATGTTACATAGTTGAGCAGACTCGGGGTTAATTCCAACAAGAGAATCGCAAGATAGTTGTCTATTCATCGGTATAAAAGTGCAGTTGTAGATATAAACGTTCAACACTGGCTTTCTGTCTTGATAATTTAAGCCAAACGTCTGATTACTAGGAGAATACAGTATAACCTTGCATGAAAAAAAATTCGATTCAATCAGGCGAGCCGTAAGATTAATGCATTGCGCAAATATCGGATCGTTTGAGCTTCGAATATTGGAACCAAGCACTTGAATTGAGCAAGATAAGAGATTTATAGCCAAGACAAAATGCGAAGATCTCTCTACGTTGCAGAAATTAAATTCCAGTTCAAACCTAGTTCTATTATAAAAGTCAAGTAAAATTCCACGGCTAGCTAATGAAAGGTTTGAGAATACAATTTTTGACGTTATATGTTCAGAACTATTTATTCCAAAATATGAGTAGGTTTGTTCGCAATGTAATATCGCTGTTCCATTAAAGCCGTAAAACGACAGTGATTTATCCAACATAATCGTGTGGTTCCCTCCAATTAGATGTTGACATTCTTTATAAGGTCTCCCCTTAGCGTAATCAATATGGATCACGTCATTAGCACTGGAAATATTGACAGCGTGTCTCACACTGCGACATGGTAATGTCCAGTTGTCACAATTACCTTCATCTTGTCCACGGTGACTGACAAAGATATTCTTTAATGATACGTGTTCAATACCTTTAAAATCAATATTTATTTCATTCAGCTTGCATTGTTTTGGTCTTTCTAGGTAAACGTAGAGCTTTACAACGGGTATACACCCAGTGACTTAGTCAAGGGGATGGTGCTGGCCCCCAATGATCTCCAGAACTGTTCTCATGATTTCTCTTCAGAACTTGTCTCAGAACCCAAAAAATGCTGTTTTAGGAACGCTAGAAATTTCCATGGGGAGCATGACCACGTCTGGGGTTATTGCGCCAATGATGCTCATGTTAGGAACCTATGCCCCTATGAACCTATGCCCCCCCCCGGTCAACACCCTGACTGGGCTGCCAGAATGAAACTAAAATTATCTAACTGGCCGAGCTTCATTTTTGCAACTTATTGAACTTGACATAAAGACAAAATTTAGGCGACGGTCTGATATCTTTAACATTAACAATATATACATTCCACAACTATATAGCAGTTATAATGCTGTTAAACCCCAGCAAAAGTTGGTACTCTAGACTTGACAAAGCTGATTTGACGGGGAGAATATTTGTTGGGTATCTAAATAAAAAAAACTATATAGATGCACCGTTTGCTTATTAAGCCTACAGACCGGAATAGCCCTAAACGCTAAAATCAGCATGATATAAAATTCGAGACGTCTGCATTCAAATGATAAACAATACTTTCGAATATCGCAAACAGAAATTTTATGATCGCAAATTTCTGACGTTTTATCAAGTTAGATTAAAACGAAAAGCTCTATTTCCTAAAACAAGAACGTATCCCAACTAAATCCGTTCAATTAGCATCACAGTTAAATATTTCTAGGGCATGTACAAACGGAAAATGCTCTGACACAAACCGGAACTACAAACGTATGAAAATAAAACCAGCATAAATACATGCAGAAATTATATATACATTGAAGGCAAGCTGTTTGATAATTGCAGTATATTTATAGTATATTAATATACTATACATATCTAGATCAATTATTCCTTGGACATTATTAATCGTGCATGCTTTGCGATAAATGGATTTTAGTTTAATTAATATTGGCCACGCAATAGTACTACTACATACTATACATAAACGTCGGTAATAATCCTCAAAATTTATCCTCTTGAATTGATATTCATGCTAAAGAAATGGATGTTCCTACTTGCAATATCACTCAAATGGTTAACCTACAATACTCATAATAATTATTAACCTACAATGGTTAATTAACCTACAATGGTTAATTAACCTACAATATAAACCTATATTTCATGTATATCATTATATGTATACAATGTACAATCTACAATGTACTAGTAATAAAATCACACTGCCCTTACCGTAGCAAAGCATTAGAGTGACCAATATACGAACTTGGAGCATTTTTCATAGATGTCGTGTAAGATGCTTGAGTGTATTAAGAGTACTTGATAACAATCGCCGCGAATCTCTTTAGCAAAGATTGCTTGTTTGCCAGTTGAACAAATGTAATATATTCATCCACAGGAAGCCGAGAAGCCTTGGGAACGAGGATTGGTATATATTACTCAACCTCTTACCCAGGCTCTTTCTGAAGCGTGCTACAACTGAATGCATTAGATATAGTGTTGCCAAGATCGTGAAATTCTTGGAAGCAATTGGGGTTTTCTGAGATCACTATCTCCATTCTATTCGTCCATTTTCACTCGCCCCATATGAACATGTAAATTAAGTGCTAACCATCCTTACTTGCAGTTGAGAGCTAAAATGAATTACGAAGCTAGGACGCAGCTCAACATGAATGCTTTCTAAGGGCGCCACTGGCATCCACCTTACGACTGGTGTCTGATCAAGGAGCACAGCTACGGTGGAAGGGTTAACACGAGTACCTGGAGAAAACCTACAACCTTCGGTAGAGCGTTGACTGACTCTTTTCACACGAATGTGAGGAGTCATGAGAATGGACCCGCGATTTCAGAGGCGCATGAAAGTGCTTGCTCTTACGATTGCGCCACCGTTGTGGAAATTTCTGCCATCGCGAAATCATGGAAATTTCTGGAAAGCACGGTATAGAATAACGCTCAACAGAAAATTGAAAATAATTATTTTTCCACATCTTTGTCTTCCAGAAAGTCATGCATGTTTTGCGATTTCGCTCATGCTTCCTACCCAGGGCCAAGACGGAGGAGCCTCTGATAATTTTGAAATTTGAAGCCCGGAAATGCCATTTCCTGCGTTCTGAGCACTGCATGTGACCATTAAATTTGTCCTCATTGTATTCATTTCTCAAGCAAAAATAAGCCGAAATGATCTCAAAATGTAAACTATTGCTCGCGTATATTTTAACATACGATATCGGTATGATACTCGTATCATACGCATATCATTATCAATTGAATACCGAAATGCGCGTATCATCTACGAACGCGTGTATCATACGAATAGGCAGGTCATATGAACGCGCGTATGATATGAATACGCGTATCTTACGAATATATACGCATTACAAACAAATATTAGCGCGCTATAAAACACGATATATATACGCGCGTATCATAATTCGCGTATTAATTCCAATACATGCAGGTATACTGTACATACGCGCACAAACACTTTAATAAAGCGAAGTTAATAGCGAACACTGTACTGAATACAGTAAAAACTCAAATTAAAATATAATGTGCATCTCTTATCATTCATAAGGCTTACCTGACTGGAAATGATTCGTTTTACTATCTGATTTTATTTCTACCTCGACGCATATAAATCCTTTAGCTTTACGACGGCTTTCATTTCGAAATGCGCACAACCGTACTGTGGGTTCCCAATATCATGTTGTTGATGAGCCAAACGCAGATATCAGATATTCCATCGTTCTGG